TTTCCGACGTGTTTCTTCTTAGATGCAAACAACAGTGGCTTGGTTTTCTCTATTTCATTTCCGGTGAATGAACACGGATGCATACCGATGCAGGCACTTTGTTTTGTACATTTCATTTCAGTGAATACACACCCAATATGAATGAAACGCGATACATTTTGAGAAAATAGTTAATGGAAAAAGTAAATAAAACGTTCTTTGATATAATAATATAAAATCAAATGCAATGCACTTTCTCATCAGAAAAAATGAAAATCTTCCAGTAGACCCAGTTGGGAAAGCCCCTTAACTACTTCAATTGGGAAGAGTCCGTCAAACGGACAGTATATGGGCTAGCTAACACCCTGAATTTTTAATTGTTTGTATGCTATTTATATTATGAACTACTTTATTCTAAGCCCCAGGGGGAGGGCAGTTTGACTTACACATTTCCCGGGGGAGGGAGGGGGAATTAATGCATTAGAATCATGTTTTTTCAAAGTCCCGGGGTGTCCCGGGGGTGTACCCCCAGGGCAGGCCGTTGATATGTGCATTACAAGTATTGCAATATAAGTATTATTATTAATACACAACGAAATATACAATAAGACAACAAAGTAAAAGAGCGGAAGTGTGCGGGTTTTAGTGTTTTGACTGTAAATAAAAATCGTCCATCGTCCAGTCCATCGTCCAGGTTTTAGCACATGCCTTTCAGTAATGCTGTGCAAATTTTTAATGATTTGCATTACAGCCAATTGCAGTTGAGCTTGCAGCTTGCATTTTGAACGCGTTGTTATATCGTTGAAAAGTATGCGTTCATTCCTTAGAAACACGCCGTTGCTAGGGGCGTAACGTGAACTTTTGGCGGGCATTGTTGAACTTCTGAACGGCGTGCAAACAAACGTATAACGAGTTAAATATATTGTAAAAACGCTGCTTAAGCCTGCGACGGAACAGTAAGGTATTTTTAGAATGCCTGCAGTCAAATTAGAACTCCCTGGTCGGTTTTGTGACAAAATCTAATTTAATTCGTCAACGCCAAGAATAGAAAAACATGTTTACGCCGTTACAATGCCCGCCAAAAGTTCACGTTACGCCCCTAGCAACGGCGTGTTTCCAAGGAATGAACGCATACTTTTCAACGATGCAAAACGCGTTTAAAATGCAAGCTGCAAGCTCAACTGCAATTGGCTGTATTTACACCCGTTTTCAAAATTACGCGACCAAGGACGAAAATGCTAGAGTTGACATGTCAGTTTTATGTCATTCGGTCACGAAGTTTAAACTTTGAGTTTTGCGGTTCCTTGTCGATGTATATGCTTTGTATGCTTTATATGAACAGGCTTACAATGATTTTCAAGATATTTTAGTGAGAACTATTGCAAAATTTAAGCACAAACAAAATCATAACATCACCGTTATAGTCTAGCGCGCGTGTTTTATACTGACAGCTAGATTCCGGGATAAATTGTTATTTTTCAAACTTTAAAAGTTATTCACGGCACATATTTCTGTTGTGATGGTTTGTATTGTACTTTAGTTTGTATATCTAAGTTATCTAACTCATTTTTGTTCAGTTTTGGTATTAAATACGG